AGTATGAGTTTACTTGGTTTGGGGGGAAGGGATGTTAACCTATTCTGTGCATCACAAAACAATACATCCCTGTTCCTTTCTCAAAAGCAGCAAAAAAAATAGACAATTTATACATTAAAATAAAATAAAAATTATACAAATTCAAGGGGGTGGCAAATTGTAAACTATACAAATTAAAAGTAAAATTAATATTGTCAATTATGTGTGACAATCTCTGAACAAATCCTGGTTCATTATCGTCTTAGGATATCGTCCCAGATATTTTAAAAATTCCTAATGTCTGGTGTGCCAGGATATAAACTGTTTCTTTTACTTATTTCTAATATTTTCCACCTTTTACTTGGATTTTGGGAGCAGGGATGTTAACCTATCTTGTGTCATGAAACCATACGTCCCTATTACTTTCTCAAAAGCAGCAGAAGAACAGATAAAAAGTGGACAATTTATACATTAAAATAAAATAAAAATTATACATGTACATTTTTGAAGTTAGTCCAATATGGTGTCACCAACAGTTGGTAACCAAAGAGTATCACACTCAGTAAATGGTTTACTAAACACTGCCTACATTAGAATTAAGTATATTTAGAAAGCAAGGCTGAAATTGGCAGAGTTAACTATAGTATAAATATAGCAGTAATGAACTGTGTAGACTAACTTATTAAGTACTGTTCAGTTGATAAGTTGGTCTCACAACCTATTACTATTATACTTGTATTATAGTGAGTTTACTACTATCACATGAATGACTTGGGTGTATGGTTGAGTGGTCAGAATATCTGCTTTCTGGCCATGAGACCTGGCTTAAATATCCCACCATGGTCAATATGTCAAGGAGGTGACCTCGATAATAAATGTAGCACCCAGGGAAAGTGCCTGAAAATTAACCCATGGGTTAAACCAAGCCTTGTGAGTGAAATTGGGTAGACAGAAATTTTTGGGAGCTGTCAATGATTTGTTCTTAGCACAAAGTCATCATTAGTGTAAATTTGAATGTACTGGCCTTGTAAAGAAAACTGACCCTAACAAATTATGAGATCTCTCCCAAAAACTGTAACTATAGTTCACTCAGCTTAAGTGGACCCTCTGGGTTGAGCAGGTGCCTGTAATAGGGATTTGCTAGCTACCCTGGTAGATTGTGTGCATGGAATTGATTACCATATATTGAACTCACAACCACTATGTCAACAAATTCAAAAATCAACGCTTTTACCCACTAGGCCATGCCCACTCATGTTTGTTTTATGCAGTGGTGGCTTGTGGCTAAAACAAGTGGGGGTACTACTTCAGAAAATTTTTAGCCATTGTTTTAATACTGTGTAAAATGAAACAAACACATAAAAAGAAAATTTATACATAAACTTGATAAAATCCTAAATGAAAAAGTTATTTTTTACTTATAAATTGTTACAGTTCAAGCTTGATTCATTCATTTGAAAATGAAATCAATTTTAATTCATGACACTTTTTAAAATAATTATTTTCATTATGTCACTTTTTCATATAAACATCTATTTCTTGTATAATAAAAATGTAAACAAAACCAAAAATAAGGGTGTTTATTTTCCAGTGATTTCATCAACATTTGACCACAAATAAACACAAATTCTGTTGATGTTATGATCATAATTCTTATGTCAACATAATTCAGCATTCAAAGAGCTTTCTAAAGATATACAACTTGACCATATTGGGAGATATGAACATGTTAGCATATAGTGGTAGATGTGCAATTTTGAATTTGGCCCAACTCAGTAAAATCCTTGTAATTTGGGCTATAGTCAAAAGTCCACCACAAAATTTGGTATATATCTTGCCATAAGAGACAAATTTGTTGTCAAATTTAAAAGAAAATTAAGATATATTTTCTGAGAAATTAAAGGTTAAGGTCAAATTAACTTATTTGACCTTTAAACAAAGAAATAAATAGATCACATTTTTGATCTATTCAAGTACTTTAAAATGGTATATAATTTAGTGTTGTAGGTGAAAAAACAACTGAGATATTGATATTTAAACTTTGTGACTATTTTCCAGAATTCAAGAGTCAAAGAACTTATAGAACGTATCTTGAGAACTCTTTGACCTAGAGAGGTAAAATAGGTACACTTCAATTTTTAACATGAAGCTCTATAAGTGTACCAAATTTGAAAAAAAAATCTGTGTCAGTGATGGTCAGATGCTTCTTGATTTGATGAGGAATTACTCATACATGTTGTGATCTTGAAAAGAATGTTGGAATAGCCAAAATGTTAGAGGAAACATTTTTGTCTTCTGTGTAATCCTTGCTGCAATTCTCATTATTAAATTAAATTTATATGCGCTACTATAAACTACTTTTATTTTTACTTGAACTCCTCATTTTTGCTTTTTATGACATTTGCACCATCAAATGTCTGAACTATCAGTTTTTGTCCATTGTCTTGAAGGATTATATCTAATTGTTCCAGAATGTTTTGATATGCTATCTGCAGTTTGATTTTCTGGAATAAAGAATCCCCCAAAATGTTCAAATATTTATTCATGTACCATAGAACAATGAACATTTAAATGTATTCTGAAACATCTGTTGTGTCATCATCAGCTATGAGGTCTACAAACAAAGCTTCCCTAATTTCTGTCCTTACCTCCTCATGGTATATTTCTAACAGGCAGTCAAATATCTCACTCTGAATGATTTTAGAAATATCTTTGAAAACCGTACTGTTTTCTAAGTGATTCTTCAAATCTGGATGTAATTTAGATGCAAAATTTATTAATCTTCTAAATACTTCTGGATTTATTGAATCACTTTTTATCATGTCCATATAAGGGAGTTTCAAAGATTCAGCAAAATATATACATTCTATTATTTTGGGTAAAATTTCACAGTTCTTTTTAACTTTCATGTTATGTACATTGATTGAAAGTCTGTATGCCTCACTAATATTCTCCATAATATTTACATTTCCTAAACATGACAGTGAAACCACATTTTCAATATTCTTCTTTGACTTCTCATGTTTTTCAGTTTCTTCTTTCATTTGGTATATATTTCTAAAACTGTGTTTTGTCCAAGTTACATCACCTCGGGAAACAAAACAACGCATTTTTCAATTTACAGTCGCAGAGCCAACTTTTCCATTGGTACCATTCAGAATTAAAGCTACAAATATAATTCTCATTGCTGCTTATTCCTGGCTAAGATATTTAAATATCAGGTGTTGAACATTCTCTTTTCTTAAATGTAACTTTCTCATGGAGTGACAACTGTGAAAACTTAAACTGTTGAAGTTCACTTACTGTCACAGAACTTATTTCTTGGAGATAATGGTTAAATTATTAACATTTTCTATACAGTAAAACAATGAATTAAATTTAAATAAAATAGCTGGAAGTATGATAGTAATATAAAGTTTATCACAATCAAAAATATGGTACATGATTTTAAGCACAACACATGCTGAGTAAAAAATAAACAGTATTTTACACACTGACAACAGGGTCGACACTGTGTGAATGACAGTGCTCTCGATAACCAGCATTCAACTTCTTTCCTTGGACATGTGCACAACAGCCAAACACTGCATCACTGGAATTGTGAAGGACATCATTCTATACAAGGATTTTTGTAACTTTTTATGAACAAGAGGATGGCTCCTGACAATAAGCTTAAGAATTATATGATGTACAAGTATACAGAAAGAATTAAAGGAAAAAAAAACCCCAAAAAGACTTGAATGTTATCAATAATATCGAGTAAAAATAGGGGGTGCTGCAGTGCATATACAAGAGCCACCATTGGTTTTATGCCATATCAACACATTTGGCCATTTAATGCTGTAATTTAATGTTTTTCCTAAATAAATCATTTTATTTAAACAGAAAAAAAAATTAAATAGACTGCTGTTATGATTGTATTTTTTAAAATTATATTTTATATTTTTGAGATCAGTAGAAAACTGGAATATGTAAAGTGGATCAATATTTTGAAAAAGTTCTTTTAAGTTTGTTGTTTGGCAGTAATTTAGACAAATTAAATTAAAACTGCTGCAGTTTGTCAGTATGTGTTTTATAGTGTATGGCTCTTGACGTAACACACATACTGAAGAATGGGTTATGGTAATATGTCCAATATGAAACCTGGATCTAATCTTTTAGTTTGATGTTTCTGATGCCATTCTCCTATCAGTTTGTTGTTTCAGCAGGAGTTCCATAAGTTCTGTCACTCCTCCCTAATGTATTTATTGATTGTTGGTTTCAGGTTAGTATTTGAGATTTTGGTATTTAAGGAGTCTGATATGTTTATAGTAGATATTTTTCTTGCTGCTGAATCTACTCTACCATTCCCTATGATACCAATATGGTTTGGTATCCAGCAGAAAACAATATTTGTATTTAAGCTATTGATCTTGTTGAGTAGTTTAATGATGAGTAGGTTTGACATTTTTTTGTTTTTTAGTGCTGTGACATTTTCCACTAGGACAATATACACTGTATGAGTTATATGGGAATGATTTCCAGAACGTAAAGAATTCATTAAGCTTTCTCAATTCTGTTGAGAACTTCTGAGTTAAACCGGCAAGTTAATGCTACAGATCTTCTACCATGTAACTTACATTAGTTAAAGGACATGCTGATCCTAAATTCTAGAGGAAGCCTTAGAGATCTTGAAGAGTCCATGCCTGATTGAGTGTTTTGTCAGCATAAGGAAGACAAATATCTTATGACAAATTCTCAACCCTCAGTGTAACATCAAACGAAATAGTTACCAGTCATTGAGAATAATTACATTTTTCAATGAGCATATTACTCTATCAGGAATAGTGTTAAGTATGCATTAATAACTGCATTAATAAGTTAAATAGAAGCAAAAATATCTATGTCAAGTGATGAGTAACAAATTTGTCTAATCATTAATCTCACCTATTACACACACAGGTTATAGCTGCAAGATGATCACAAAAACTGTTGAAAATGTTTATTAAAAATATATATATATATATATATATAGTACTGACCTTGAGTTTGTTAAGTTGGTTGATGGAATCTCTCAAATGTTCCTGGTGAGGATTCAAACTGAAGTGGGACACTTCACTGCAGGCATCCAGTATTGCAATGGAAGTGCCTCTGTGAGAAGTTTGGTGTTGTAGCAGAAGGTTTAGGCCAGCAAAGACCATGCCTTCCAAGAGAAAATCATTTACAGAGAAAATCTGCAATAAAAAAAAACAACAGTTCCATTAATCAATTCAAAAACCAAAATTATTTCTCATACCAATTTCTTTTTCTACATTGTTCAATGTACAATATGCTTTGTAGATTGACATTAACTTTCTGACAATGGAACTAGTCAGCATCATTATAAAATAACATGCAGTTGGATTTGTTATTTTGATGAAGTACAAATTGAACACATTATCATGAATAATAAAATCTCACATGCAAAAGAAATAACAAGAGGAAAATCTTTTATATCAATGTATTTTGTTCTTTGAGATACTTTCTCAAGAAAATGTAAAAATTTTATTTTGAAACCTGTATTTATACTTGCAGAAAAAATAACAATGAGGAAAAAAATTATGGATGCAAATTTGAATTAGATAATGCTCTATTTTAAAATTCTTTGGCATTAAAGAAAAAGACCAATAAAAACAAAAGCAAATTTAATTCACTTTCACTTAACAACAAAAACCAAAAACTCATGTTTCTTAACATCCTTCATAATTTTCCTTTTCTTAATGCCAGTTGATTTTATAAAAAATATTTTTGAGAGTTTCCTAATTCAAATTGGAATGTATAACATTATTTCTTCTCAATGCTACTTTTTCTGACTATTTTTATTATTCTGTGTGTAATTACAGGTTCCTAAATAAAATTTCTACCTGTAAAACACATGTGATTTGCACACACGTGTAATTTATGCAGGTAATTTTCAAGATAAAAATTGTTAAAAAAAAAAAATGTAAAAATTCACACCCCAAAATTTTCAGAATTGCTAATATGGTGAGGGGGAAGAGGTATTCAATTTAGCATAATTTCACTTATGATTAGGCTTTATTAAATTTTCATCAAATAAAAATAATTTTTGTTTAACAGGTAAGATAAGTATCACATTAAAAGATATTAAATTATATGATCTGGATTATGCTCACATGTAGAAGTCAGCATCATGATTTTCAATGTTGTAAATGTTTACAATATATCCTTTTCTTTACTATCTTCAACAATTTTGCTGATCTCACAACAAAACAAGAAAAACAGACAAGAATAAAACTATACTGTCAAGATTATCCATATCATTACATTTTTTTTTTCCAGTCAAAAATATCCATATCACTATATATGTCAATGGTGTTCCATTGCAATACGTAGATAGGCAGTGTAAAATATGGCTTGGATTGTGATTACCAGCATGAACATCAGACTTCAAAAAGTAGTTAACCATTTAATGGTTCTAGTAAATTTATACAGAAAAAGTAAGCATCATACCGTCCAGTATAAATAAAAGTCAACTTCATTACATTTAAGGCCTTATTTTTTCTGTATAAACTTATTCTGACATTAAATGGGTCAACTTCCGGTATGAATGTTTGTTTTGTACAACATTTTTCAACCAGAAAAATTAAAAAAAAAACAAAAAACAAAAAAAACCCTAATCAAAAAAATCAACATCCTCTACCAAGTGTCCCAAGAAATAGGGCTCAAGATAAACCTTCCCAAATAGGAAACTATGATGTGGAATTGGAATGAAAGCAGTAATGACATATACCCTAATCCATCATAAAAATTCTGGATGTGGAATTAGTAAATACTAAACACTTAAAATACCTTGGTGTATGGACCACTTATAACAAATTTAGCATAGGAGATAAAGAAATTGAACAAAGAATAGGATGTGTTTGAGGTAGTTTTGCCACCAATGTAAAATGCTACAAAACCAAAACTTTAGCCTGAAAACTAGAATCATGACTTTCATATGGATGCTGTGCATGGTGCCAAACTCGTTCAGAAATATCTAAACTGTCAGCTTTACAGAAGTACTTTCTCAAATCAATGGTTAAAAATGGCTTTAAGTGAATGAAACCTGTGGGTCTTAGCAAGGACCACCCTTCTTCAAATCTTGTGGACTGATGTTACAGAATCAAAGTACCAAATAAACTGAAACAACACAATTTGAGGACTTTCAACAACAACAGCAAACACCAAAATGGATAGCACATGTAATTTGAGAATAAAATAATAACATAATCAAGACGTTGATGTTCCACACTACTTCAAAGAAAAGGTTAGGAAGGAAACCTCTGTCAATACAGGAAAGAGCAATAACAGCTAATGAACTAGTGAGACCTATTTTCCTGAAAAATTACTTTCAGAGAAAGATTTCAAATTTTAACCAACAGTGGCACTAGCTGCTTGGTCAATGAATGCCAAATGTTTTCTTATAAGAAAAAGACTAATATTACCATTACACAGATACATATCACCTAATGACAAATTAAAATCATCACTTATTACAAAAACCTACAAACCATCAATGATACACAAAAAAAACTGAAAGAAATCTATGAATATGCTTGCCCACTTGAAGAATATCTCTCTAATGAGTCAAACACACACTACATTATCTCATCAATTAACATACTATTTATCTGATAACAATACAATTAAATAGCATATCAATGACAAAACAACAAAGAATCTGAAAGATCCTTACCAATAACACAATAATACTATGTCACATAAACTGTAAATCCTTCAATCAAAGCTGACCATAATTAGGAGATCGATAAAGTTATTGTAAACTCCATGATCCTTTCATTAGTCACATAGTACATGCTTTTCCAGAGCTACATAAGGTTTCAAATTCAGAGTTGTCTATTTAACCCAGAGCTGGAGTTTCATTCATGTTTAGTTTTGATACATTCAATAATATAACAAAACTTTAATGGAAAGCAAATTCGGTTCTGATTTCTCATTCCAATCAATATCCATTAACCTTGGGAAAAGTATGACCCTCCCAGCTATGGGTTAAAGATTAGAGCAGACTGGACTCTTCAAATGCAAAACTGGCTCTGATTTCTCATTTCAATTCAATATCCATTAACCTTGGGAAAGGTATGAATCCATCCTTCCAGCTATGGTTTAAATAGTAGAGCAGACTGGGCTCTTCATTGGTAACCAGTCTAGGGGAAGGGTGACTGAATTCAAAATCCAAATGTACTCCTGGCAAAGCACATATGCAGCTAAAGAAAAGATTGTGGAATTCAAACTGACTTTATGATCCCGACTGTGGTTATGTCATTTGTAGACAAACTGTAAAAAAAAACAAATATAAATCCTAAAAACATTATGCAAAAAAACAAAAAGAAAAAACAAACAACCGAGACATTGGACAATTGTATTTGAATATGTACCAGGAACCAGGAAAAAGGTAAAAAATATAGAATGTTTTAAATTTTTAATTGCATGAAACTACAGGATGATAATTGTTGAAAGTCTCAGGAAAGTAGGTTGAATGTTTGAGAAGAAAATTAAAAATGAAATGAATTAAAAATTGTATGTGCATGTATGTAGGTAGAGGCTTGAATAGGAAGAAGGGGACATGTTAAAAAGGGTCTGTAACTTCATGCATAAATGCTAGACTTGTGCTAGAGAGGTGACAGTTAAGAGATAGTTGATGAGAGAATGCAGTGAAACACTTGCTATAGTTGTAAAAAAGTAAAGGAAAATCATGAAGATTAATGGTTGAAAGATCGAATATTGAGAAGAAACATTCCAGTTACTATGGAGAAATAGGGATGTAGTTGCAAATTCATATAAGGAGTCAGGGAGAACCCAGACATTAAAAAAGAAAAAAACAGGAGATCACCTGTGAAATTTGAAACAATTTGTTCTGGGTATCACAGGTTCAGTGATCCCAGTAGTAATTACTGAAAGCAGTGAGAAAGAAAGGGGAAACAAGCTTATTGTAGTGCATACAGAAGGAAAAGGGGAGATATGAAGGAGAACATTTTCAAAGGAGTGAAAGTTAAGCATGAATAGAGAGGGGATTATAAATAGCACATTTCGCCTCGAAGAGGTGAGCAATGTAATGAAGCAAAGTCCAACGAAAAAAAAGTTAAATATTTTAAATGCATCCTTTGGACTTAACATTTGTTTCTATTTGAAAGATAATGGTCTAGAGCTAAACTGAAATAAAAGAAAGATTAATTTCTGTATATATAAAGTTTTTCCACAGTTTTTAAGCATTAGTAGTTTTTTTTGTCTCTCATTGGATTGTATATAGGAGGAGATGTAAACAAATTCTGTTTACCTTTAGAATCTAATATTCATACAAGAGAAGTGTTTTGAAACCTATAAAAATTTAAAGTGGGTGCCTCCGAACACTCGCTAAGAAGTGAGCATACACAATGGGAAAAACATCCCAAACTTACAGAAAAGGTTTTATGGTCAAAATCTTTGTCATTGTTAAGAGGAAAGCCCAAAAGATTTTTTTAATATTAAATTAATATTTTTTGATCCTATTTGGAATGTTTGAAATTTTGTTTTTTTTTTGCGTCAGCAGGTGACCCAAAATGATTATAGGAAATTTTAGAGGTAAAAAAACACATTGATATGGAAATACTTGCAGGAATCAAATAATTGTTGGATGTTAATGAAACTTTCAAGACTTATTCACAAATGAAAGAAATTATTTTCAGACTAAAAATATTTTGTATTTTTTTTTTTTTTTTTTTTTTTTTTACACGTTACCCGCCCTCTACTTTTTTAATTTTATGAAATTTCAAGAAATTAAAATTTTTAGTAACTTAATGTTTATGCTAATTACAAGCAGAATGCCTGGGAGAGATAACAAAAATCTGCTCTGAATTGTAAAATAAAAAAAAAATATGAATTATTTAATTAGAAAGGATTTTAATTGCTTTTATGAATAAGATATATCATAGACACTATTGTCTTGAGAAAGAAAAAAATTCAATAATTAATTTTTGAAACAATTGTTTTCATCTTTTTGAAATTTTAATGAAAATAATTTGTAAAGTTTTAAATCTTTTAAGATTCTGTATTAATTTGTACTGGTTAGGTGATATTGTTATTAAGTAAAAACTATAACTATATTTATTAATGGAAAAAATTTAGTGGAAAAGCTTCATCAAACACCAATATTTTAAAGACAATTTTGAATTTGTTGTGTCTGTGTATAAATGTGTCA